AAGTGTATCGTAAAGTTATATTCAGAAAGAATAAACCAGTTTTATTTAAGAAAGGACTTGTGTCGCTAAAGTTTCGTCGGAACGAATTTATGGAAAATTAATTAACAAACGGAGAGGTAACATTATATACAGGTTTTGGATCCTAGAGAAAGATAACCTTATACCTGACAGTAACAAAGTCCTTTTGTATTTCAATGATGCCAACCAATCAATGTTCTACAGTGAAGTTGTACTCCTGTGATGTGGGTATCCAACATTGATCATATCTTCTGTTTCTATAAAGTAAATGAGCCTGGGATTAATTGAAATATTAATGTTTATTTTTTATTTTTTTGTGAAACTTGCAATATTATGATTCCTGTAACCAACAAAGACATTGGCTTACAACTTATTTTGGTGTATGAATAATTTTGAATAGTATCTAAATAGCTGATGTATCACTAACTCTAGGGTTAAACAATCAGAGGATATATGATTTTTATTGGTAATTAAAGTAAACTGTTTTGTTAATGTACAACAGAATTATATATTTTACTTATTTTGAAATATCATTGTTTTTTATTTAAAAAAAGTGTCTCAATCAGCATACTTCTTTAAATTGTAGTAAGTCACCAAAAAGATGAAATCAACAAGAAATACAGGTAAAAAAAGCAGTAGACAGTCACAAAAGTTAGCACAGTAAAGAAAAGAATATTGTTGATGAGTGACAAAATCATTCTTCCTCTTGTGAAAATAAAAGTTCATGACAGCAGTGAACAACCTGCATGTCAAATCCAAAGCTTTCAAAATGGCACTGGTTTAAACAACAGCACCAGAGCTCAAAGTAAACACTTATATATAAAACAGTATTGATAATGTTTTGATATAGGCTGTAAAACAAAATAACAAAGAAATATGACATATCATGCTGTGTAAAAAATGATCATATTAGTTTGTGGATGCCTGGAGATCTCATTAGTTGTTTCCTCATTCAGGAATAGGATGTTTTATAAAATCATGTCAAGGAGTTAAAAACTAGTTGTCTAGTCAGTTTAAATATATATTCTGCATAATACAGGGGTAAGTGATGCTTTATATTCATTAATGTATCATAAAACTTTGTACACATGTACTTGTTATGTAGAAAATTTACTCACCACTTAGTCTTGATTTTAAGATATTCCACTTCTATCTGTTTTGAAGAGTTGGAAGCTAAATTTTGTAAATGGAAACATTAATATAGATCTAGGAAAATTTAGCTTTAGCACAATTACCTAAACAAGGGATAGGTCACAACAAGCAAGGGTAAACATACCATAAATATTATGTTTTAAAAACATTTTCTGTTAGATATACAGAAGATGCAACTAAAACTCTATGCACAAAATGATGTTATTAAAGAACTGTCCTTATACCAAAACAAAAGAGAAGAGATACAACAAAAATGTGTGGTGGCAGAAGCTAATCTGAGAAGGATAGTTTCATTCCACACATGCAAGTTTATTTCATTAATGGTTTGGGTTCTGTGAAGATAAGTTTAATACAAAATGTAATGTCACATTATGATGAACATAAAAATAACTAACAAAGCATATGTACAAACTGGCAACAAAAAACACCAATTACCACACAATCAAAAACATTTGTGAAAACAATGTGATATAATGAACATATGGCTTATTACAAGAAAAAAAAAATCACTTGCTAGTCAACAACATGAACTACTTGCTTCTCTTGAATTGTTATATATATATGTCCACTAACTAGATTTTTTTTTCCTTTAAGCTACTGTGACATACAACTGCAAAAACACAAGCTGTAAATCAACAGATTATTTATTTTGTATTACACATAAACCTGTGTAATGGGCATGGTTGATTTACAAATACATACAAATGCTTTGATAATAAACCTTCACACATGCATGATTTATACTTTTAGGAGGCAGGTCTCTCAGACACACAGATTTACAGTGCTTGTTCCATGACAGCAGAAATATTTTTTCTGTTGCACCCAGTTTATAATAGAAAACTTAGTACAACTAATTTTCCAAGGAAAACTTTGAAACAAATTCTTTCTTAGCTACTACTGACTTTTTGAATGTAATCATTTCAAACACTTATGTTTAGTGATTTAAAAAAATTATATTCAGATTATCAAATTTCATTACGCAAAAGCTGTCAATAAACAAATGCAGTATTAACAAAACTAAAATAACATAACTGTACACACTAATGAAAATTGGCCAGATTTTATTTTGACCACAGTACTTTATAAATTTTATGTCATGGTGTCAATATTTTACAGTCCCTGTTTCAAAAACATTATTTTCCAAAGTATCTATTACAATACAGATAAAATAAGGTACTTTACTAAAAAGTAATAATTTTTATGCACTTCACATTGTGAATAAAAATATCTGAAAAAATCTGAGACTGACTTTAAGCCAACAATCTGACATTTTCATTTTTTCTAACTTATGAGAATTTAAGTTTAAGTACTGTATTCAATGACAATTATTTGGTACACAGATCCCAATAGGTCTTAAAAAGTAAAAACAATGCAAACAAAAGAACACACATATTTTTCAAAAGTAAAGTTCAAAATCAATGCGCCTTGAGTCGTAAAAGGGAGCTTCAACTTCTCCAGCTCGTCGAACCCACACACCATCATCAAAGTATCCAGCTTTAACCCATTCATTCATTTGCAGAGATGAGTGAGGCCCATACATTGGAGACTCTTCATTATTTTCCCATCTGAACTCCCATGTGACTCCACCTTCATTCTCTTTGACATTGCTGTCGGCATCTGAAGAGAATAAAGACAAATGAAGATTACTTGCTCTTTTAACTTTGAAAACGTGTTCACTTAACTCTTAAATCTTCTGCTATAATTTCTAGTTGGCTTATAGGAGAAATAACAACTCCCAATACAAATATAACGTGCAAGCTTAATCATCAATGTCCTCATAATTAAATAAATACTAAATCCTAATAAAAATAACTTATTTTGCCTATCCTTTCAGTAGAAAGTATCACTTTCAAAACTGTTTTATCTCTTTTACAAATACTAATGAGTTACTCATACAGATACCAGACACCCCCTATGAAAAAAAAGTAAATCAACAAATATTATATTCCACCTTAAACTTACACAACAAAACATGCTGGCTTTCACTGCCAGGCAACACAGGCTCACTTGCAAAGAGGGTGGTAATTTTCCTATACAAGTTTACTTGTAAAAATTCCTGATTTCTCCATAAAAGCACTAAATGGGGAAAAATGTTTTCATATTTGGAATCAGGGCATAAAAATGCACCAGTTGCCAAAGTATTTGTGTCAGTAATCATTTTCTGAATCGTAAACCCATTTATATGTTGTTAATAAACTCATACAAAGAACAAAAACTACTTTTTTTTTAGATACAATTTGTTAATAAAAATGTCAACTTATATTCCTATAAAGAATACTACTTTTAATTCCCATTTTACTTCTTAAGTAATATTATTTGAATATTCCTTTTTACAAGTGAAAGTGTTTTTATACATTTTGACCTTTATTAAATAGAAAAAAAAAAGGTTATGTAAAACAGAAGATTTTAACCATATTTTGTTTAAAAAAATATATGGTTATTATTAGTTTGTATATTATTAAGCACAAAGCTGCTGAATGGGCTTTTATTTGATAGAGCAGAAGACAACATCAAAATTCAGCATAAAAAACAAAATTAATTAATGCTCAGGAATATATATTTTTATTACAACAACTAACGTTTTTTGTAAAAAAAATTTCATCACAATATATTTATATCAATTTTAACTCCAGAATAACTTTCACTACCACAAATTGGACGTATATTTTGACAGAAAAGCAGAATTTTGTGAATTCTTAATTATTCAAGTATATCATGAAGTAGCTGTAAAAGTCACCCAATTATAAACATGTAAAAAATCATATTTCTCCCACAATTTTGTGATATAATATTTTAAATGTAAAACCAAAATTGACATGGTAAAGATCTTTCCTTGTTTTAAATATAATTACACTGTTGAAATGTAGAAAAAAAAAAAGAATATTATTTAAATTGTGAAATTTATAAATACTTATGTATTCTATCATGTACTTACTCAAAGACAACTGTTTAACCATATACAGGTTAGTAACTGCCAACAAATAAATAGTAAACCTTTTATATAACATATATGTAATGGTGAAACTCTCATAATTATGAAATTGAGGAAGAAAAGGTCAAATGTACATTTAACAAACATTTCATTTAATGGTTTCATGTTTTCGCTAGTACAAGTATAATCAAATACAGACTGAAATAGCTTGTAAACAGGTACAGTACCATGCAAAAGTATTCACCCCCTGCAAAGTTCCACATTTTGTTGCCATCTGAGCTTGCAATCATGAAACTTTCAAATGGGACTTTATATTTAGAATCTACACAATCTACTTCAAACTGAGAAAGCTAAAAAACCCTAATATTATGTAAGTTAGATTTTTAAAGAAAATTAGAATATTCTTTTTTGCATAAGTATTCAACCCCTTTGCTACGGCAACCCTAAATCAGTTCAAATGCAAAAGATTAGTTTGAAAAGTAACAAATTTAGTGTAATCAAAGTGGTTTAACTTCACTTTAGAGTAAATGCATCTGTTTAAACCACAACTCACATAGTGATACAACAAACCAACAATGAAGACCAAGGAGCTTTCCAAACAAGTCAGAGATAAAGTGACAGAAAAGCACAGATCAGGAGAAGGTTACAAGAAAAGTTCAAAGTTGCTGATTATCCCTTTGAGTACGGTGAAATCCATCCTTAAGAAGTGAAATGTGCTTCATACCACCCAGTCACTACCCAGATCAGACTGCCCTTTTAAACCAAACAGCCAGGCAAGCAGGAAACTGGTTAGGGATGCCACTGTGAAGCCAACAGTGGCTTTGAAAGATTTGCAAAGTTCCAAGTCTGAGATGGGAGTCAGTGTTTATATATCGACAATATCCCTGTCCCTATACAAAGCTGGCCTGTATGGGTGAGTGGCACGAAAGAAGCCATTACTGAAAAAGAATCATCCTAAATCTTGTATGGAGTTTGCAACAAGGCATGTAAATGATACTGCAGACATTTGACAGAAGGTTTTGTGGTCAGATGAGAAAAAATTTAGCTTTTTGGTCTAAATTCAAAGCGTTACATCTGGCGCAAGCCCAACATATAACATCACCCACTCAACACCATCCCAACTGTCAAGCATGGTCGTGGCAGCATCATGTTAAGGGAAAGCTTCTCATCAGCAGGGACTGGGAAGCTTGTCTGGATTGAGGAGAAGATGGATGGTGTAAAGTACAGGCAAATCCTAGAGGAAAACCTGCCAAGAATCTGAAACTGGGTCAAAAATTCACATTTCAGCAAGGACAATGACACAAAGTGCAAGGCAAAGCCACACTGGAGTAGTTTTAAAAGAAGGAAGTGAATGTCCTGAAGTGCCAGGAAGGATGGGCAAAAATTACACCATCCCATTGTGCAAAGCTGGTAGGGGCTAATCCAAAAAGATTCACAGCAGTAATTGCTGCCAAAGGTGCTTCCAACAAGTATTGAACTAGGGGTCTGAATAGTTATGCAATCAGCAAATTTCAAATTATGTATTTTCTTTGCAGGTTTTGATGACATTCAACTTCCTTCACACATAACAGTGTTAAGTTTGATCATTAGAGGTTTGAATAAAAACAAGTTCATTAAAAAAAACTGTTTACATTATTGGTAGGGGGGTGAAGGCACTGTTTATTTATGTTAAACCAAAGAACCAAAAGTAACTCTGGCATTCACTCTCAAGTGAGTGGGGAGGAGCCTAAGTTGATTTGGTCATTTAAAACTTCATCTGGATTCATTGGTATACTTCTACTTATTTCTCAAATTTCCAAGTTATTTAATATTTTACTTTTTTCACAGACATATACAATTTTTTCTGGATGGAATTGGTTTTTAAGTTTCCATAAGGGTGATGCAAAAGTTGAGTCATTTTCCCATTTTCCAGCTTCTTGAATGTTCTTTAATTCTTATTTTTGTAGGATGTCCTGTATGATCTACATATACATTATAGCATTCTTGACATATTAATTGATAAATACCACTATGGCTGTATTTTTTATTTTGTCTTTCTTGTTACACAGCATTTTGCTCAGATTGTTTGTACACTAGAAGACTAGTCTATGGATTTCTTTGTTTATTCTGTTATATAACAGAAAGGAATGGTGTAAGATAAGCTACACTGGGAAACCTTCTCACAAAATATATAACAGACTAAATAATAATGTATATGTAGGTCAGACAGGATGTCCCATATAAAAAAAGAATATTTAAGTAGCTGGTAATTGGAAAAAATAAACTTAACTTTTACATCAAACCTTATGGAAACTAAACACCAATTTCACCCCCAAAAAAAGAAAAAACTGCAAAATCTTACATGGCTGTGAAAAAGATAAAAATTAAATAACCTGGAAATTTTAGAAATAAATAAAAGTATAAAAATAAATCCAGATAAAGTTCTAAATGACCAAATCAACATATTTATTAAACATTAATTTTCCTTGATTTCCCCAATTTAGCAAAACATTTAATACTTTTTAAAGTTATTCTAAACATGGACTTTGTTTTTAAGAATATGAATGATTGCATTAAACTTTTCCAGTGTAATACAAAAATGGCAGAAGGAAGAAAAAAAGGATTTTTCTGAGTTTTTCAATGATCAATGCGTATTGCACAATTTCATTTCTATTGATACTGCTACAGTAAATTCAGAAGGTTACAAATGGCTAGAAGCTCAAATGTCATACCTAATAGCAAACATAAACAACTGTTATTTTGTGGTCTTATAATTCCTAATAGTCAAAAACACTAACAAAATATGTTTTAAATGCTGAGTGTAATTCAATAAATCACTAGTAAAAATAAGAGTATGAAGTACTTTCAATGATAATCAATATTAATTATAATCTGCATTACCCAATGTTTTTAAAAAACTATAATATTTTAAATTTAACTCACTATTTATAGAAAATTAAGAACTGGTCAATGAAACTGTATATGAAAAAAAGTAACACAAACAAGCTATTCCTGACAGACAATTCCTACATTTGAGACGTCTGTGCAATTCCTACATTTAAGACGTCTGTGCTCCAACAATGCTGACTTCAGATGTAAAGCAAATGACATGACTCGTTATTTTAGACATCAGAACTATCCCAATAACACCACTTAAAAGGCTAAACTTGCCACATTCAGTTTATCACAGGCTGATTGTCTCCACTAGAAAGACAAAACACATACTGATAGAGTTATTTTAGTCCTTCACATACCATCCTTTAACCAGACAGATTAACAGAATTGTCAAATGCAACTTTACCTTACTAACAAGAGACAACACATCTAATGATATTTTTACCACCCCACTCTTAATTTCTTTCAAATGTGAGAGGAATTTGAAAAACTGTCTAGTAAATTCGAAATTACAGACTGAAGTGTTTTTACTTGCACAAACTAATGGAACTCGTCTGTGTGGATGAACTATTTGCTTCACATGTAATTTTTTCACCAACTTAAAGACTTTCTCCAGTTCTACCTTTACCTTTAACGTAAAAGGCCAATTCACCTGTACATTAGAGTGCATTATTTACTGTATTCGCTGTACTAGATGTAAATGGCACCGTCGACCACCCAGTCCCCAAACACTTTAACTCCCTAGATTACAACAGAATTGACGACATGAGTGTACTTGTTTTATTACATGCCCCCCACAACACGTATGATCGCAAAAGCCTAGAACATAAACTCATATTTAAACTAAAGTATCTTCCACCACATAGAATTAATGAACATTTTTTTTTATGTGATTACAGCTTACATTAATTTCTCTTTGTCACCCTTGTTAATTAGACACCTTCTACACATATTTCCCTTATCATTATCTTTATTAAATTACTATTTTATCATTTTTTTTAAATTTATGTTTATTACTTTTCTGTGTCCTTTTAATTTCTAAAATCCAATTTCTGTCACTTTAATACTTGTTTCCCATTTTTAAAACTGTTTAGAGAACCACTTCAACAATGTTCCTTCTAACAATATTTTTGTTAACAAGCTCCATGCAGTATCTACATAATTTAGAATCTCTTTATATTCTAACCCTTCGATGATTCTGGCTAAGCCTTTTTTCAATGTAACACAGTTTAAACCCCCTGATAAAGGGCTTTTGCCCGAAACATTGCAAATAATAATAAAGTTTTTGTCATAGAAGTGAGTTTTACCAATTATGAACATTTTTTCATGTCTTGTGGTCTTTTATACTGTGTGTTTTTTCTAAATGAAACTGTATGGCTCTTCTATGTCAAAACCTTTCTTCTAACTGTCCATGTATTAAGGACAGATGCAACAGGGGTCTGTTTTCTTCAAGTATGGTTTTTTACTGATGATAATGATTTGAAGTAAATAACATACTAATCTGACACGATAGCATGTTAATCATAAAATAGATCAGAATGTAACAAAGAAATGAAGTTTAAGTTGTATTTTATGATTAATTTTATTGATATATAAATTAGGTATTTCCTTTTTATTTCCAACAAGAACATAAATAATGCATTTTTTCTGTCTTATGGTTGTAAGTTCTGTCACCCTGAGTGCTTATCATACATTAGGTAAATACAAAAACACTTTACTAATCACAAAATTCCTTGGAGGTGTGGAAATTGGGAGGCGTAATATACCATAACCTACAATATCTCATTTCTTTATTTTTTACTTTCTATTTTTAATTTCTTAATTTAAAATATAAAATGTTTCAAGAGTTCTTGAAATGATCAATGTATGTGATAAAATGTTAGTAATATGTATTTTCAGTTAATCAACAAGTAAAAACATTTTCATATATATTCAGAAGCAAAAAAGTGATAAACAGAGAAATATCATGTTACATACACTGTAAACATATTTGGTACCTTTCTCAGTGAAAAAAATCCCAATGGCAACATTAAAGAAATTGGGAGGTGTAATGACATAACCTAGTTGGGTACTTTCAAAAATAATTATTATTAATAATCAGCATTAAAAATTATAATACATTAAATGCAATTCACTTTCCATAAAAAAAAATTTAAACTGGTTAATAAAACCAATTTTGACATAAGTTTTAAAATTCATGAAGCTACAGTTCTGAAGAAAACTTTGGATTGTATGTAACTCAGAAAGAAGGTAAATCCTATACTACATTAAGTAATAAAACATGAAACCACAACCACAATTTTTCTGATGCTGTCATCTTGGGTCTTCATCTGAAAAGCTGAAACTAATGTGGCCAAGAAACAACACAGCAAGTAATTGCTGTGTAAAGAAACTACACTTTATCAAATACTATAGCAAACTGATACATTATCCAAGTTCAGTGTCATGCTACAAACAACTGGGACCAAAGGCAAAAAAATTACATGGTCATGTAGGAGCCAGGCCCCTAAAGGAATGTACTTGAACACACACCAGGAAATGCACAACTTGAGGGCTTTTGTAGGCTTGTGAAGTCAGTTTATAACAAAAAAAAAACACAAAAAAACAGGCAGAATCTGCTATAGCTTTTTGAAGAGATGTAGCTTTTGGCCAACTGGGCTCAGGGTGGTTGCTCTCCCTTGCTTCTGTGGTGGTACTGTACTGTCCAAGTTGGCTTATTTTGAGCTTACAGCCAGATATGTGGTTTCTCCAAGTATAATCTAACTACTATACAGCCTTGCTGGCCTTATATTCAGTATCACAATTCATTAAATTGGCTGCAATATGGCAGCTAAAGTAGTTTACAATTTACAAACGATTTAATATTTAACATATAAGTATATTAATTAACAGAAATATCTTTATCCTGTTTAGAAGCTCTTTAAAATTCTTAAACAATAAAGATCAAATACACACTAAGACCATTTCACATTTTTAGCAACATATAACAACTTTTTTTAAAAAGATTTATAAATATTTTTAACTCTTTATACATCAAAAATATAAATATGCAGATGATTGTGAATTGTAACAGTATGAAATTTGAATGAGTAAAATTTTAAAGAAAGATCTTACTTCCTGAAATGTTTTCACAGAATTGTGTAAGATCAAATGAACGTATTACTCTTTTTACCTGATTTTATTGTTTCTTTTCCATCTTCTGGATCAGTTCTCTTTTTTTCCTTGTCTTTCTCAGCACAAATTTTAGAATCAAAACTATCTGAAAACATATCAAGAGCATCATCACTTGTTTCTGGTGCAATTTCAGTTCTATCTTTTGCTGTCTTTGCCATTTTCTTCTCATCCTCAACTTTCAAAAGAAAATCTAATTTCTCATAAGTTTGTTCATAAATGTCCATATCTCCAGACTGTAAAATTTCATTTGCAAGTTCAGTGAGCTGAAGCAGCTTCTGTTGATCCACCTCAGAATTATTTTCGCTGTTTGTTTTCTGGTTCCTTCTATCCTTTAACCATCGACGGCTGGCACTGGACTGCTTTATGCTACTTCCACCACCACCATGCCTACGAATTGCTCTCTGAACAGTTTCTCCAGGTTTCATAAGCTTCAGCATTTCCTTATAATTATTTAATTTGTCAGACATTTCCATTTCTTTGTCAAGGTTATTTTCATCATCCATATTACCTTTTGTAATTTCTTCTCTGGATTTGATCTATAAGGTGATAAATAAGTAAAATTATGGAAAAAAATAACAGAGCAATCTTGTGTATTCAGTCACTGTGACATTTTCTTATACTTTTATATAAATTGTGCGTTGAACTAAAAATCAATATATTTATTACTATTGTTAAAAAAAATAACTTCAGGTCAATATAATGAAGTATTTTGAAGAATGACTCTTAAAATATATCACAAATGTAATTTAGTAAAATGTCATTAGTATTGTGAAACATGTTGTGATACAGCATGACTGCCTACAATTTTTGTTTTGTTACTGTAATGTTATTTATAATTCTGTGCTAAACTAAATTGAAAACAAAACTGGAGAACAAATATAAAATCCCCAAAAAAGCTAACAGTCCCCTATTTCTCAGAGACCATATATAAAAATATTACCACTTAAAGCATCAATACATAGTTTGTATTTGTCTGTTAAAATGTGGTGTTTTCCAAAATGTTCCATGTGAATACAATCAACATTTTATAACATAACTGGACTACTTAAATACTAATATGTGTTCAACCATCATGATAACAACAAATAGAACAAAAGGTTTTCACAGTTTCTATACTTAGAGAATGCATGTTTTGATTTATTGTACAAATTCAAAAAGTTGTTTATTAGTTACATCATATACTTTTCTTATGACTAGTTGGTGTTAGCTTTCTGATAAAAAAAAAGTCTCTAAAAATGATTATTGTGAATAATAGGAAAACCATACTTAGTTTAAACTCAGAATTAATTATTGATAGTACAGTAAGTTTTTGTCAAAGTCTAAACACCTGAATGCCAAACTGACCATGTTTTCAAATTTTAATAAATACAAGCATATTTATTTTTCTACAATTGTAAATTACAGCTGTTCATTTGTTGTACTAAAAAGTATGTATACTTGATCGCTGAATGTTATCCTTTAAATGTTGGATGAATAATACCGAAACATCAACAAAAATGTCTACATCACTTTAAAACTGTTTCATTTGTAAGCTTTTGATCTTATCCCTGGGATCATTATCTGATTAACTGTTAGCCTGATGATTTTCCTAGGAACAGCATGTATATAATAATAAAAAAAAACATTTAGCTCAATGATGGTCCTAGAAACAGTATAAAAAAATTGAAGGAAAAAAATTAATATGGTGTAAACCCATTTATAGGTGTTTTAACAGTGCATGTACTTTACTATGCTAAATAAGGAGTGACAGACTAACTCACAGTTTTACATGGATGTTTTTCTACTAATTGAAATGACGGTAGAAAAAAAGGAATCATTTACAAGATTAAATCTATCTTCTCACTTTTTTTTATTTGCTTTGAAAAATAAATGCTTCTTTATTAACAGTAAAAATATAAAACAAACCTAGCTAACCATAACACAGCTGTATTCAATTTAGTCCTCTCTGAAGCATGGGATTTATCTAAAGCAGTTAATATTATCTTCTAGACATCAAAATCAAATACTAAGGGCTCAACTGAACATAAGAGGCCACATTTAAACTTAGTTCCACATACTCCTTACTAAAAGTTATTTTCTTTGGTGAAGAAACTCGTCTGGTCACTAGCCCAAAAAAATCGTATACCGTATGCCAAAATCAATGTGCTAATATAGAGTGAAAAATGAAATATCCACAAAAAATTTTTTTTATTATTACCCCTTTCAAGAAACTTTTTTTCTTATTCTTAAACAAGAAACTGTCTGATGTAAAAGAAGCAAACATATCCAATAAAAGAAATTATAATATGTTAAACTATAATAAAAGACTTCAGTTTGCTACTGTGTGTTTCTGAGTTATGTACGTAACTGCTCATTACTTATAACAAATCTTACAGCAAAAAAATCTTCTTAAATTAACAGTATTTGTAACTTAATGTCATGGTACTTCTTTTAAATAAAAATCATCCATAAGAACTGCAAAAATCATAGGTAGGAGGTCATATGGCTTACCTAACACAAGCCTGAAAAGTAGCATTAACTTAAACTAACTTTTTTACAAAGTCATAACCATATTAACAATTAAGTTCTTCAAACAGGCATCTAGTTGCAGTGTTCCAGATCAGATACGTACCCATGAAAATATGCAATTCTGTACATAAAAAAATGCATTGGAAATAAAGCTTGTACATATCACGTGTGTATACTAATCATTGGTATGTACATCATTCAGATATACGTGCCTATTCGCCAGTTTGAAAGAAACAATATATTAGATATGACAAAAACAGAGTGGTTGAAACACTATTATCAGATGCTCTTTTAATTGTTGAAAATCCCTAAGGGAATAGATAAAGAGTACAGTGTTAAAAAATATAATAGGCTCAACATAATTCATGTTTTAGCAGCTCGGAAAAGGTGTTCATACAAAACAATTATCGATGTAACAAATGGCTTATACAAATAGTGTTCCAACCACAACTGTGTTTCTTGTGTCCTAGTCAGCCTGATGAGCTTTGGATTAAGTGAAACACACCGTCAGCAACAGATATGCCAAACACAGATGGCTGGAATACTATTATTATACATTTTATAGAATTTACTTTTCACTTATAAAATAACAACATTAGTTCAAGTATCTGATACAGAGATGCTTCACTGCATAGCATTAAATGGCACAATAAAAGCTATGTATTTTCATATATACATTGACTTTGATAAAGGAAAATTTTATTTGGTATGATAATACCAATAAATGATGTTCCTATTTCATAATCCATTTAATATCTTCCATTTCCACTAATGTATTATAAATGGACCATTAAAAAAATGATATTCATATTTTTTTCACTAAATGTAACTAATTATGAATAAATAAAATTTTGTATCTTGAAGCATATATAAAAGCCTCCTGTAAGATGTGTTATATTTTGATGTCTTTTCTTGAATTTTTTACATAATTTTAAACATAGTTCTATACAGTAATTTTTTCACTTATGATCACTTTCATCTTTTACAAAACATA